TTTTTTTTTCAGTGAGAGCTAAATTTATACCCCTTGCCACCCCTAATCTCATCTCCACTTCTGTGGTTGGGTAGTATTGATATTTCTGCAGAGTTGTAGAGCTTTTTCGAATCCGGCTTTCCTGATGCTAGTAGGAATGGTTTTTGTACGACTTTGAGGAACTGCTTTCGGTTATTGTAAAAATGAAGAAAGCGTAATGATCGCATTCGCCGGAGCGTTGAGATATCCAACCACTAAGCGTGGATGGAACACAAGGGTCTTTGCTCATTTCTTGCCTGAAGGGGTGACGGAAGTGTGGTTTCTGTTTTTCAAGGGACGTTTTATATACGTGCTAATGCAACTTGATTCGAGAAACCAGTTTTCAGAAATTGTGTCAAGTGGCAATGTGTAGCACTCAGTCCGAGATAATAGTCGAAAAAGAAGGATCAAAACGAATCTTGACACTGAATCGGCCGAAGGCGTTGAATGCACTCAATCTTAGCATGGTCCGAGAAATCTACCCTCGGTTCCGGGTATGTGTGAAGCTCTAGAATTTCTTAAGTTCTTTCGATGTAAGTTATGTATTATATCGAGTATAGTGTGGTCACCTCCCTCGTCTCAGTATGGCTGTTTGAGCCTCTTACCTAATCGCAGGGCATAATTTATGCGTTTGTCCTTTCTGCCGAATCTAGCATTTGTATATGTCGTCAAATAGATGGTCATTGTAATTGAACAATGACTCGCAATAAGGCTTTTGCCCATTGAGGAGCTGAGAATAATGAGAATAAAAGACAGGAACAGGGTCATTTTCTTAATAGGGGATGACTTGCTCCAAGGTGAGCAGAAGTTCAAACTAGGACGGCCTCATATTTCTGAATATTTTATTCAATTGAATTTGCGTTCACATGATCCCTTCAGGAGTGGGAAGATGCTGGAGACGTCAAACTAATAATACTGAAAGGCTCTGGCGAAAAAGCGTTTTGTGCTGGAGGAGACGTTGTAGGTAGGTATGGAATTATATTTTCCCTTTCACTCTTAGCCCCCTATTCAAAGTTGAGAAGTGGAACTTACCATTACTCAAGTTACATCGCACCCCTTGAACGATACCGAGTTTCTATTGGAGTGTTTGCCGTTTTTAAGTAATCTCACTTGCCTTCAGGGCATATAATCTCCTAAAATTCGTTTAGCGGTGAGCAAATCTGCAAAGGAAGCCGCTAAAGGTGGAACTTCTACGATACATAAGGATTTCTTCAGGTGAGTTGATAATTTCTGAATCATAATTGGATTGGGTATGAAGCTAATTCAATATTCAAATGTAATATATATCTTAAATAGGTAGATCTAGATCAAATTTGCTATCAAAGTTTATCCACTGGTCATC